GTACAAAGAAAGTCAGTTTCGTAAGTTTACAGTGATTGTAGCGAATAAGCAATACACTAATCAATTGTACTTGCAAAAATCGACTTGGTTTCTCTTTACTTCCGTTTACTTTGATACCACAGTATATTAAGAGGTTCAATTGATCAAAACACGCCAAAACAAATGAAATTTGAAGACAAAACAGTGAAATCAACTCACTCAGCCTTCGCTTGTTCTCATTGGCCTCCATGACTTCCTTATCTTTTCAAACCGTATGGCGCATGGGTGAAGCGTGGAAGCGGGAAACATATGTTTGGTCTCAGCCTTTTTTGTCCGAGTCAGCAGTCAAATATCTCCACGTCGGGCGAAGAAAGATTCAAATATCCCCTCCCCTGGGAGAACAAGATCAGTCAAATGCCCTACCCCAGGGACAACAAAGACAATCAAATCCCCACCTCATGCCCTGCCTCCCCCCCCGCCGGCATTACATTGATAGGTGCATAATTTGAAATACCTACATGTGAAAATTACAAATCTTCTGCGGGTAGTAGTATAAACAAATAATAGCATGATTTGCACGTGATATTTGACAGAAATACCACTCGTGATATTTCAAAATTGTCTCAAATTTCACTCGCCTAACGGCTCGTGAAATTACGTATAACAATTTCGAAATATCACTTGTGGTGTTTATGCCAAATATCACTACAAATCATGCTATTACCAATACAAAAACTAAAACGAAATTTATAGAGAAAATAAATTTTAAAGCGTGTTTTTCTTGGCAGATGTCTCACGAGAATTTGGATTGCATGAAACCTTTTCTTTACCATTTAAACAGTCTTTTTTAATGATCAAGATTTGTTGACGTTAATCTCTCTAATGCTCCACCATGAACCGGTTAAAAAATAAAAACAATTACATAAAGACAGTTGTGATTAAAAAATGTTGTATAGCTAAAGCTTATATTCTACAAGCGCCCAGACGCCTAAAACTTTATCTTTTTTACCACGTTAGTTTAAAGTTTCAACGGAGCAAAAACTATGAAGATGCCTACCTTCTTTTTCTCGCGAATAAAGGCATCCCACTCACACTCTAGCAAACCAAGTACGTATGGATCGGTAAAAACCTCGGCATCTTTCTGACAAATTTTCTGATATAATACACATCAGTCAGAAAAAGATATTCAAAAACTACTTTTCCTTTCCATTTAGAACACCACGTATAAGTTAAATGTCAATATTACCTCAGCAGCTCCTTTGATTATGTGAAATTCCACATCTTTAAGCAGGCCGATCACCGAGATTGTATGTTTGTCCGCCATCTTTGTATCCAAAGATTCCCGGGGTTTAAGTTGTCATGGGAACGGTGATTCGCTCATGCGTAACGCCATTTTAACTCGGGTTCCTTTTTCTTTTGTTCAAACGCATTCTCTCGGATAATTTTCTCTGTTATTTTTAAGAGCATCCAATCATCAACTTGTTGACAAAAAGAATTAAACTGAATTTACGTTTTAAGCTTTCAAATCTGAATTCAAATCAAAGAGGTAAATAGTTAGTCAAATCACTTGTAAATAGTGACAAAGGTACTCAGGGGACATAATTATTGGTCTTAGCCTCCTTAGGGCAGCTAGTACTTTTGCAACTTTACCGATGACTTCGGAGATGTGAGCCTCCCACGAGAGTGTTTCATCAACCTGAACGCCTAGGTATTTGTAACTATATATTGACTCTTTCAATTGAATGCCCGTCGAGGGATATGTGTGGATCGCAGGGAGCAAAGAGATTTTTTTGCCTCGTGCCTCGTTAGTTTTCTTTGCAGGATGTTAAATTATCACGGATAGTGATTTACAGATCCAAAGTGATAAGAATGAAGTGCAGCTTAAAATGAAGCTACATCAACTATGACGAATGCATTGCGACTCAGCAGATTCCAGCTTAGTGTTTTTCTAAAGAAAATGTGAGTCTATTGACTGGAGGGCGTATTTCCTTCCTTGGTTATAGGTTTTTAATAAGCTTAACAGTGTTTGGACTGTTTTTTTATCACTGTTGCCACTTTGTGATCAGGCAAGACCATGGTTTCGGTTCCCCAAGCGAACCTCATCAGTTGCCTGATTAGCTTTGTGCTTAGTTGCTTTCACAGGAGCAACTTTAGTTGTTCTCTTTTGTGTCTAGAACGGTACAGCCTTTCTTTCTACTGAGCCTTGACCTTGAGCATTAATACCCGGGTGACGGATCGAGCGGTAATCGAGCCTGACAGTAGCCTGCAAAGCAGGCGTATTTTGGGGCGAGATCCATGAATAGACCTTGTCACGGTTTTCGACGCCATCTTGATGAGTAGGCAAACGCGTGAGAAATTACAGTGTTTGTATGAGAATCTAATGTCGGATAATTTCCGTAAAACGGCTGTTCTGAAAAAAATATCAATTGTCAACTAAAGCTACAGTGCAAAGGATTGTCCTAAAACATTTTTGGGGCATATCTGTGCTTAAACTTCTCAAGAGGCTTGCTTTGGATTTTCCATATATTTGTCTGTAATTTTCCCGGGACTTTCTTACAGACTAATGTATAGAAAATTTAAAAAAGTGGTTCTAGGTCTTCAAGTGAATGTAACGCCCTCAAATTTTTTCCAGAGAATCCTTAGAAGTGAAGCTTTAGTTTACAAGTCATATTTTTTTCAGAACAGCCGTTCTACGGAAATTATTCGACATTAGATTCTCATACAATCACTGTAATTTTTCACGCGTTTGCCTACTCGTCAAGATGGCGTCGAAAACCGTGACAAGGCAGGGACACCGAACGGGAAATTTTGAGAAAAAGACCTAAAAACAACAACAAAGCGTGAATAAAGTTTTATGAGACTATTTTAAGCATTTTGGGAGATTGCTGGAAAAAAATTATCTGTTCCTCACTCCCAGCAAGACTGATGGAAGAGTTCCCAGCCAGCAACCTTACAACCTGCAACCTGACTTACTGGGAAGTTTCATAGGGCCAATTCAGATCTTGAGTGGTAAGTAACCCATACAAGTAACCCGTAGCAGCTATTCTAGACTTCAAATCCCCTCTGACACCCTGAATTATCTTTTTCCCAGCAACACTTTCCATCCAAGGACTATTATTTCTTTCACATCTCCCAGCCAGCAAAAATGTGCCTGAAGAACAGATATTTTGAGGAACAGATCCATTGGGTGTCCCTGACAAGGTCTATTGTTTTCAGGATAACGTTGTCCCGCCATCTTGGACGTTAATACTACCAGAGAGTTGGGACGAGTCAAAAAGTGTTTTTAAGGGAGAGGTAGATGGGTTTAGTCTTTTTGGTTGCTTTTCAAGATGGCGGCCACGATTAAAGTACCTCCGAGTTTTCGTTAAAAAACGTAAAAAACGCCTGCTCTGCAATCCCTCCCCCTTAGTCTTTTTGGTTGCTTTTCAAGATGGCGGCCACGATCAAAGTACCTCCGAGTTTTCGTTAAAAAACGTAAAAAACGCCTGCTCTGCAGGCTAGCCTGACAGAGGAGTCAAGTCGGAAGTCGGAAGTTAGAAGTGAGAAGTTGGAAGTCTGAAGTCGGAAAACCACCCACTTGGTCTGTCACGCCTGAGTTCGCGAACCGACATTTGATGCTGTCATCAACTGTCATAATTGACCAATATAATGTTTGGCCTTCCGTGGAGCGGAAATGAACTTTAGAGGACGCTTTTGTGAAACCAAAATATTTTTTTTTTGTATTTTGGAGCGAGTGGACGGCGTTAATGGTGAAATCTCAATGAATCCGAATGATCAATGTAGGCTTTGTACATTTGTCTTCTTAATCCGTCTAAAAGGAAGGACCGCGAGGGTGAATGAAGTTTTAAAGTTTTTGCTTTAAACCTCCAGAAAGTTGGATTTGAAGTGGTAAAATGTGACAAGCATTCAAGTCTAGATCAGCTAGACAGAACAGCTTACCGTTCTCGCCACGGCACAGACAACTAGAGTGCTCTTGTAAAAACATCCTAGAACAAAGCTAACCCGGGAACTGAAAGTTCGCGTGGAGAACCAAGCAGAAATTTTGACTGAGTCACAATGCAGGTCTTCCTAGTTGATGTAGCTTCAGTTTAAGGTGCAATCCATTCTTCAAAATTTGTATCTGTAAATCACTATCCGAGAGAATTTAACATCCCGCAAAAAAAGAAAAAAAAACACTAACGAGCTGGGCCCAGCATAACAAAACATTGCAGGAAACCATCGCATGCCCTGACAAAAGAAAATCGCTTTTAGTTATTCAGATCCAGGAGACAAATAAAACGACCTGAAACCCTGATATAGTCGCAAGAAGAGCTTTGTGTTTCAAATGCCCTTGCATTGGAGGGAAAATCTTGCCAACCAGAATAAACAATAACCACAGAAAATTAATATGCGTGTCACGTACCAAACATGACCTCTCAGTACGAAACAAACCTTTGATCGACACATGTCAACATTGTTCGACTAGCCGAGCCAATCAGGCGCTGCGTTCGTTGGCGAACGCAGGTTTTCAAAATCGAGGGGTTTGTCTGCAAGCGTTTCCTTACTTCCCCTCCCCCTCCCCCCTCTTTCACTTTTTGGCTCTGGATTCATTTCTCGCGCGGTCAAAACCGAAAGTCCCTTTCCTCATCGGTCAGTTTCTTTGCTCCGAAACCAAACGGACACGCTTGCTACGCAGGCTACCAAAACCGAGAATCCCGTTCCTCGGTCTTTCTTTGCTCCGAAACCAAACGGAAACGCTTGCTATGCAGGCTAAGAAAAATCGTGACCTTCTATCTAGGAAGTTCAGTTAATTAACGGGAGGCCAGATGAGCCAAAAGTTTTTGAAGAAGCTAAACGGTTTAAGGCGTTTTTAGAACTTCCTACAAACAGGAAGTTTGCCAACGGAAGGTGGCGTACGTGATTTTTAGATGAACAAAATCCATAAATGAGCGTGCAACTGAATGTGTGCAACGCAGTGTGAAGAGAAGCTGAACGAAACTTTTCTCCGTTGGAGCTCTTGACGATAAGCCATCATCATCATCATGTCCTGTGCTATTGATGAAGGAACCTACATCATTGAAAATGTCGAGACAGAACGCTACCTGTTTCAAGATGGAGAGAAGATTAAGGGCAACCGAGGAGATGAAGGTGGTTGGTTAGCCTCTTCTGGATTTCAAGCGCCTCCTGTGTTGGGAGCTGATGCAAATTATTACAATCGTGCCTACTGGAAGATCATTCCACAAGGCGATGGTAAGTACTTTGTTGAAAACGTGGAAACCAAGAGGTACCTGTTTCAAGATGGGGAGAAGATTAAAGGCGAGCGAGGAGACGAAGGTGGTTGGTTAGCCTCATCTGGCTTTCAAGCGCCTCCTGTGTTGGGAGCTGATGCCAATTACTACAATCGTGCCTACTGGAAGATCATTCCACAAGGCGATGGCAAGTACTTTTTTGAGAATACTGAGACGCAAAGATATCTCTTTCAAGATGGAGAGAAGATTAAAGGCAAACGAGGAGACGAAGGTGGGTGGTTAGCCTCATCTGGCTTTCAAGCACCTCCTGCCTTGGGAGCTGATGCCAATTACTACAATCGTGCTTACTGGAAACTCCACAAGCAGTAGACTGACGACAACAAAATGTCAAGTCGCGAATTTTCCCTTGAAACTGTCTGATTTTTTGCTAACTTTTTTGTAGGCTTTTAACCAACTACCGTAAGGTAATTAGTATGCCGTTGGTTTTGAAAAATGTAATTCGTTCATGGTTTTGAAAGTATACTTATTTCATTGCCATGTAAAAAAAAAACAGCAGCAACTTTCTGAGTCAACTACATTGCAATATTTGATTGTTGAATAGTTTGCATTTGCAAAGCGACAGTACAGTTATATGCATGCTTTTATCAGTATGTCAGTTGGACATCATTTTAAGGTCGTTCAAGAATGTTAATTACTGCCACTGCCTGTTATAGAAGTAAATACAGAAAATGCATTTCACTACCTTGAATGATTTCCTTGTACTGTACCCTCCATTTCCTCTGGAATGCAGTAATTTTGTTCCTGCACTTCGACTGTCATGATCAGTGACTTTTGCTTCCTCAGTTCTGTTTAATGTGGTGTAATGAGTTAAGAAAATATAACCGCGTGCCCCAGCTTTCTAAAATGTCGAAGAATTCGTCTCCGTTTAAAAAACAAAACAGTGACAACACGTAGGGAGGAAATAAGAAGGAGACATTTCTCATTGACGAATTCAAGGACAGAGGAACCTCGCGCTCTATTTATTACTTTTTACCTCATCAATAGGGGAAAAAAAGCCTTCGATCTAGAACGTTACTCGAGTACAGGTTAACATTTCGAGTTTAATTTAAGCGAGGTTCATTTGTCTTTATGTCGGGTTTTATTTGTTTTATTTATATCCCTGTCATACGCTGTTACGATATTCTGTCCTCTGTTGTTAAAAAATGACTCATCTTTACGGCTTAAACAGTTGTTTTTATGATAACTGTGATGAAAAAATAATGATAATAATAAAAGAAAAAGAACGAAAAAGACAAGGAAAAAAAAAACGCTTGCTCGACGAGGCTCGATCCTAGGACCTTTGTTCCAACATTACGGTTTTACCGCTAGGCAACGAGGGCTCTCTCGTCACTCTGCAAAAAGCTTTGTTTTAAATGAAACTGACGTCATCATCACCGTAAACACTTGCAATGTGGATAAGGTAAGTGATAGACTTGACTATCACAACTAAATACTGCAGAGGAAATTCCACAACATTCCCAAATCGCCGTAACAACAGTTACGGAGCGGGCATTGCCCTCAGCGGCTAGCATCAGTCGTTTTAGTCCATGGGGTCTTCGTTTTAGTCAAAGGGGTCTTCGTTTTAGTCCATAGAGTCTTCGTTTTAGTCCAAGGGGTCTTCGTTTTAGTCCATAGGGTCTTCGTTTTAGTCCATAGGGTCTTCGTCATTAGTTCAAGGGGTCTTCGTTTTAGTCCAAGGGGTCTTAGGTCTTAGGTCTTCGTTTTTGGGTCTTCGTTTTAGTAACACCCTGTGCGGCTCATGTCAATAACTTTTCTAGCAATTTGGTCGAGCGTGTTGATTTCAGTGATTCCAGAGTGGCGCTACTGTGGGCTGGTTTATAAGTTTTTCCAGAAACTCATAAGGGGTTGAAAAGAAGCCCTTATGGGTTTCTGGTTTTTCCTAATAAATAACATAGAGTTAATAGGAATCTTGGTCAATTCTCTCTTTTCACTGAGACCATAATGCACCTTGTTTACCCACAGGCGGCCCAAACTCACGTTACGAGGGAAGGGTGTAATGTAATTTACATACCATAGGTGACGCGCCGGTGTCGCGTTACAGGCGACCGTTGAAAATATAAGAGACTTTGTATAAGAAATATATTACTGCAGGAGTCAAGTAATAGAAATCGTTCTATGAAAGGAATAACAGCGGTTACGCAATAAAGCCAAAAAAAATCAGTAAAATGACAAACAGACACCAAAACGCAGTGGAATACATTGCAGGTAAGTCTTTTTTATTCATTTCATTAAAGAAAAAGTAAGGTTTAGCATTATTTAGCGTTCGCAGATCTCAGTAATATATTTCTCATACAAAGTCTCTTATATTTTCAACGGTCGCCTGTAACGCGACAAAGGCGCGTCACCTATGGTATGTAAATTACATTACACCCTTCCCTCGTAACGTGAGTTTGGGCCGCCTGTGATTTAACCCCCCCCCCCAAATTTTACGTAACCTTTGTTTTCAATTTCTCTAGGGTAATACACTCGTCAGACAATGATTTAGTAATAAAAATGTAGTGATGCTTGCTGCATCGCAATTTTTGTTTATTGATCTTCAAATTAAACTACATTACGTTAAATCATCTCTCGAAGGATGTATGACAGACATATTAAATTTTTTTCAACACTCCGCTCTTTCGACACTTCTCATTTTCCACACTCCGCACTTACCACGGGCTACTGTTTAGATCCTGCTGCGTTGCCGATTTTTCTATAGTTCTTACGCCAAGCTGTACTTAGAACGTTGATAAGGCTTACATGTTCCTCAGGAAAAAAAAACATTAACTTTCAAGAAGCAAAAACCAATTTCAAGTACACTTTTGCTGGGTGTTCAAGTGTTTTCAAGACGCGTGCTGTGCTGTTTAATAGTGGTGCTGAAGGTGATACATGGTAGTGGCCAATGGGGATGAAGGTGATCACAGTTATGAGGATAAATATAGCGTTAATGACGGTAAAGATAAAATGACGGCTGGATGCTGGTGGCAGTGATCGTTACTATGGCATTTTAATGGCGGTGCTGACAGATTAATGACAGAAATGGTGGTGATCTCTTGAGTAACTAAAATTGCCATTTGCAACAGGCTATAGATTGATAAATTGAGCCATTTGTTGGGCGACAAATCATTGCCAGTTTACCTAAAGCATAATATGAATTTTAAAAAAATGAACCGCACAGCCTCATGAACTACTCTACAAGATTCCATCCGTGTAGCTTAAAGAAGCTGTACCAATTATTCTTTACCGAAGTACTTTTTGATTACCAAATCACCGAACCACATCATTTCCAGTTAGATCAGAAAGTTTGGCCTTTACTACATCAACGTTATACTTCTTATTTGTTAGATATCGTCAGGTTTGGCTTGTCACTGAGTATGATGTTTTTCACAATCTCTGCGACTTCATCCACATTTTGAATCCCTTCCTGAAACAAGTCATTGAACCTAAGTCTATAGTTTTGAAACTGCTCGGTGGTCTTTTGGTCAGCGGTTGGACTGTCATACTTTTGTGTCCAGACTTCCTAATTTTCCAATATTGATGATACCACTGGACCTGGTTCCAAAAGAGAACACCTACCAGGTAATGAAAAGGTCACTTCATAAGTAAAGCAATCCTGAAATACATTGTGGTTTTATTAGCATCGTACACAAGAAGGAAATCTGTTTTTCCACGCGCTGCCGGTTGGATCAGGCACGGTGTTTAATTTCGCGAGGGACAGGGTTTCTTTGTGGCAACTTTCTTTCCTTACAATGTCGCAAGAAATTCAGCTTGTTGACCTGCACACGGGGAGAGCGGGGCCGGGGCCGAGGGAGACCGGGGACAGGGGTCCAAACCTCCCGCTTCCTGTACTTTGCACTCTTCGCTCTCACCTCTTTTTTATTGGTTTCTTCCTTTTATAGCACTTTTTCTATTACAAAAGGTTTTAAAAGTATTCTTGAGTAATTTCTTTATTTCTCCCGCGACCTTCCCTATTAGGGCCTTTCGCTTCTGGCTTTGATTCGTGATTTTGTATACGTGTTTAATCGAAATAAATGGCACGTTGGCTTTACTGGCCATTACGCGCCCAAATGTGTCCGGCAGGAGGCAAAATCAGACAGCATAGTAACCCTGCGAGACAGTTAACGTACTTTTACCTGATATTAAATGAAGCAGGGAGGGAGCTATCGACTCCGTGAGTCCTTCTATCGCAAACTTTGTAGCACAGTAAAGGTCAAGGAATGGATTCCCAACAACACCAGCGTAGCTGCTGTTGAATCAATCCATTCTGCCTCTCTTTCATGCTTGGTAGTTCAGCTTGGATCAGTCGTTGGGTACCAAAGAAGTTCACTTCAAACATTTCCTTGGTCGTGTCCACTGGAGCGCATTCCAGTGGTAAAAATAATAACACTCCAGCATTGCTGACTGTTGAATAAAAACATGTCCAGTTCAGTAAACTTCCATTAGGCAGTCACCCTCTGGACGTAGCTAGGAGATCCCTTAACACCTGACCGGACGACACAACGCCAATTGCTGTGATCAGCTACAGCTCCATCCTTGTGATTCAGGGTTTATCTCTGCTGACTTCGTGTCCCTCTTGCACACGTCCTTGTAACGTAGTATTGGATAACCCACTGGTCTAGAGCCTGACGTTTGTTCACTAAAAAGAAAATCCTTTGCGAGGCGCCCATCCTCCATGTCTGAGCGCGGTAGGACTAGTTCAGTCGATAGGACGCATGACTGTAGATCGCGGAAGGCCGCGGGTTTCGATCCCCAGGGATGGACTAATATTCAGGGTCTTGAAATAATTGAAAAATGAAGGAACTTTCTTTGCCTTACAAACGGCTAGATCTTTGTGAGAGGAAGCGGGTCGGACAACTACGTAAAATGGCCAGCCCGTTTCCAGTAGGAGACACAAAAATAGTGTCCTCAATTAGCACTTTCGTGCTGAATACATTGACGCTTAAAAAGTAGTTTTTCAAGTTTTCAAAATGGTCGAACTAGCGCAAACGCGACAGCAACACGAATATGCCTCGAGTGTTGGCCTCCTGGCAATAAATTTATTATGGTTGTACGTAATTGCACAGTGTGGGGATTGTTGGAAAAGGAACATGAAAATAAAACCAAGAAAAACTGACCCTTATTTGAAATTTCCATTTTCCTTCAATTCTATTGACAGTTTAACTTGTTCTACTATGCCTCATACTACAGTGGAACACAATAAAATGAGCTGCGAAGAGACTGGTAAAAATCTTTAACGGGTGTTCTTCAGCAGGGTCCTGTCGCACACGATTTAGGGACAGGCCATTAGAAAAGTTATCAGAGGGGGGGGGGGGGGTTTTCGGCCCCCAAAA